TATGTATAGGTTTTTCATGATCACAATGAAATGTTCTGGAATATGCACTCTTTGCAATGTTATTCACAGCTTGTCAAGATCCACACAATTAAATGCTTTTGCAAAGTCAATAAAGCACAAATAAATATCCTTCTGGTATCTCTGCTTTTAACCATGATCCATCTGACATCAACAAGAACATCCCTCATTCCATGTCTTTCTCTGAATTCAGCTTGAACTTCTGATAATTCCCTGTCAATGTACTGTTGCAGCCATTTATGAAATATCTTTAGCAAAATTTTACTTGCATGTGATATTAATATTATTGATCAATGATTTTTGAATTCTGTTGGGTCACTTCTTTTTGGAATGGGCACCAATATGGATCTCTTCCAATCAATTGGCCAGGCAACTGTCTTCCAAATTTCTTGGCATAGATGAGTGAGCGCCTCCAGTATTGCATTAGTTTGTTGAAAGATTTCAATTTGCATTCCATCAGTTCCCAGAGGTTTGTTCATTACCAATGCCTTCAGCACACCTTGGACTTCTTTTAGTACCACTGGCTCTTCTTGATCTTATGCTACCTCCGGAAGTGGTTGAACATCAACCATAACTATTTCTTTTTGGTAGAGTGACTCTGTGCATTCCTTCCATCTTCTTTTGATACTTTCTGCATCAGTCAATATATTGCCCATTTGTTGTTGTGGTTAAGTGCCGTTGAGTCAGTTCCGACTCATAGTGACTCCTGTATAGGGTTTCTGAGCAGCGACTGGTGAGTTTGAATCACCACCTTGTAGTTCAAACCAACCTTGGGTCCCAGTGATTGTCTTATAACTCCATCCAGGACTCTATTTTGCCCACAGAATCTTTCAATATTGAAAGCTGAAGCTTTAATTTTTTTCTTCAGCTCTTTCTGCTTGAAAAATGCTGAGTGTGTTCTTCCCTTTTGGTTTTCTAACTCCAGGTCTTTGCACATTTCTTAATGACATTTGACTTGGTCTTCTTTAAGTGCACTTTGAACTTTTCTGTTCAACTATTTTTACCTCCTCATTTCTTACATTTGCTTTAGCAATTCTACACTAGAAAACAAGTTAAGAGTCTTTTCTGACACCCATTTTTGTCTTTCCCTTCTTTCTTGTGTCTTTCCCTTGCCCTTTTGTTTTCTTCCTGTTTGTTGTTTTTGATGTCATCCCACAACTCTCTGGTCTTTGATCATTAATGTATCAAATCTGTCCTTCAGATGATGTCTAAATTAGGTGGGATATGTCAAGGAGT